CCATCCCTCCCCCTCCCCCCGGATCTGTGCTGTTGGCAGGATGTAGGCAGTTGTTCTGCACCCCACTGCCAGTGCCCCGACCGCTGTGCAACGCCATGTGCCTCCTGCGTGCCGCCTGCGCCCCCTGCCTAGCGGTGGGAGGCACACGGCACCAGCAGTGGGGTGTGGAATGTGGCCCACAGCGGCCGCTGCCCTGCACACACCACAGATCGGGGCAGGGGGGGAGCATGTATCCTTTCTGCCTGCCCCGGGGGTGCACACAGCAGCAGGAGCCCTCTGTGCCCCTGGATGAGCCACCCGGGCAACAGGCATCCCACACAACCTGGCCCAGCCCCCCATCCACCCCAGCCCCTGCCTTTGCCCCACTCTCTCCCTCTTGGCAGGGACCTTGATCTGACCCCACCATGCCCCTTCCCCACAACAGACTAACTTGCTGGGGGAGGAGGGGGAGAGAGGGGTGCATGCGCGCTTGCATGTGCATGCACTCAGCCCCCCCCAAATTGTTTTTTCTTCCTCCATCTATGATAATGTCCGATAGATTTAACAGAGTGAAGCATGGACAGGCAACGTGTGTGTGTAACCATGCCGTGCCTGCTTTGATCTGCATCAAACTCTGCGACATTGAGGTCCATGTCAAATGCAACGTATCAGAAGTCAGAATCCTCTCCTGGTAACTAATCATTGGTTTTCTTAGTGTGAAAGCCTCAGTTGAAAAGGGACTGGGAGGGACATCTGAATCTGGCATGTGATTTGGGAACTGGAACAAAGGAAGAGTGGTAGATGAATATCTGGAATGTGCTTCACAAAACTGCTCTATATATCCTAGAAAAATCAGGAACTGGAATGTTAGCCAAGAAAGCTATAATGGAATGGAGAAAGAATTAGGTACAGATGTACTCCTTGCTCATTGTACCAAGAACCTACCAAACTGAGATTATCCTCATCCAAGCTCCAGGAAAAAGGAAAGGCTGTTTCCAAAAGGGATAAGTGAAGATAGAAGGTCTGGGTAGGGCAGAGCCACTGTGTATGAAGTCTCTGACTTTACTATGAAGGCTCAGAGAAACAATACTGATGGGCAGAGTTAAAAGGGAAGTGCACACTTCACTTCTGTAATATGCTGCTGTAGCCTTTGGGATGAAGGGATAGAGACCCGAAGACTGCAGAGTTGCCCTAATGTCCTTGAGACTGTAAAGCAACTTGTCAGAGGTAGTATTAAATAGTTTACTCCCTTTAAAGAGAAAGGCTTCTACAGTTGTAAGAGACGATGGAAGACAGAAAGAGCACGTATTAAATGCATCCAGAGCAGTCTGCAGGAAGATCTTTGCTGTAAGCTGGCCTTCAGCCACAAAATACTTCAGTTCTTCCTGTTGCTGGAGGCAGTTTATCTGTCAACTGAACTATATGTCCCAAACGAAGAAGCTAATTTGTAAAATGGGGCTTTATAATTATCCACACACTCACCTGAGGGCTGGCAGACAAAGAAACATTATGGCCAAAAAAGGCCAAACTTCAAAACCTTTTCAGACAAGGTGGTCTTGATGTTTACCTGATGCTTAGACTTCTCCTGTCCACTTTCATTAATAAGACACTAGGAGTTGACCAAAATAATCTCATGCTTTCACTGAGACCTGGTATTTTTCTATCCCTCTCTTCAAAGTGGGTAAAATAGAAGCCACGTTGCGTTAGATTTTTTTTTTGTAGCCTAAAGGAAGATTTAGAACTCAAGATGATTGCATCCAATCTTTCAAGAAGCAGATCTTGAAAGTGATATGGGTGAAGATTTCTTGGAGTAATGTTCATAACCTACAAAGATATTGTATCCAGGGATAATAAGGCATACTGAGGAAAAAAGCAGATGAGAGCATACAAGGATGGTTACTCCTTCAAGGGTCTTGGTTCTTCTGTATTCCTTAAGTACTCCTCTCTCTATTCTCTGATGGACTCCCATTGTCTTCGCTCTTTGGTGCATCTCAGAGAAAAGGGTAAGAATACATTAACCCCATTCATTGGGGACACAGTTCTGCCTGGGATGAAGGTCTGCACAGCACTGGATCAGGGAGCATCATGGCTTGGAGATATTTCACATACTCCATGAAGGCTTCACTACCCAGTTTATGGACAGGTTATCAGTTACAGTGAATTGTGGGATGTCTGATATCTAGATCAGAGCTGTCCAGCTTTGGAGTATCTGGGGGCTGCATGCTTTGTAGGCTGCACCTGTGTGAGCCCCTCAGGTCATGTGCTACATGGGTCCTCTACTGGGTTGCTAGCAGCTTCCCCCCCAGCACTTGGGTCCCGGGGCTCCACAAAGTCCCAGGCTCCCTTGTCCCCCAGCCATACCACCCTGCCATGCCCCCAGGGGCAGGAGCAGAAAGCGAAAGCTGGAGGTGGGAATATGGACGCCTGGAGACCTTCATGGCAGCAGCCTCTAGAGAGTGTGTGTGGGGAAGGGGGAGAGCTGGCACCTGGGTAAGAGCCCACAGGCTGTAAATTAACTCCTCAGAGGTTGCCAGTTGAACAACCCTGATCTAAGTATCTGATGGCAAAGTGAGAGCCAGTGATAAAGTATAAGCACTAAGTAGTGGGAGGCAAGGTAGTGGATGATCCCAGAGAGCAAAGTCCAATACAGTGCTGGAACAGCATGGTCCTCAGGAGATGAGAAAACAATTGGTACCAGTGTGTTTTCAGTGCTAGAGCACGTAACAAGAGTGTCAGAACTGTGGATTTTGGAGAAATGCGCCCATAGAGAAGTTTAGAGCTTCCTGCTTATATGCACGATTCCAGGATATGGTGTTTCGTTCCACCCGCCAAACCCCTTGATAGCACAAAGGCATGAAGAGTGAGGGCTATGAACAGAATCTACACTAAGGAAAAGTTAATTGTTTCAAGGAAGGATGCGGCTGATTTTTCTCAAGCTCCTTAGGAAAAAATACTGAAGTTTCCATGGATTTTTTTCAGCAAGAAAAAAACGGTTGGCCAGGATGTTGTGTGCTTTCCTTCCTCCTCTGTCACTTCTTGACTTCCTGAGCAAGACAGTTGACCATCTAAGCCCTCAAAGAATATCTATCAACAGCTATTTTAAGCCACCAGACAGAAGTAAAATGAAAGGAAAAACTAAAATAATTTGACTAACTAGATGAGGGGAAAAAATTATCCCCCTATCTAGAAGAGAGAGAGATAGTTGGATGTACTAGTTTAAATTAAGGCAGAAGCCAGGGTAGAGACGCACCTTGTAGGCTAACTGAATCAGAGATGTATAACCTTTTGTGAGCTAGCATCTGATGAAGTGAACTCTTGGTCATGAAAGCATATGCATCTCTGATTCAATTAGTCTATAAGGTGTATCTCTACACTGTCCAACTAGAAAAGCCCATGGAAGGTAAGAACAACCCAAGTAGTGGTTACAGGTGCTCCACCCCTCACAATAGCCTGACTACGGCAGTCTGAATGGAATGAGAAGTACAGGCAAAGACCGAATGAATACTGCTATTCAAACAGAATGCTAAACTTGTGGACTATATGCCTCAAAGTACGAAATCTGTACGAACCCTCAGAGAATGTTATGCCATACTCCATAAAATGAGGGAAAAAATATTTTTAAGCCACAGGCCAGAATAACTTGGCTCCAGTCCAGCATGTGCTGAGTGGCTTGGGCAGTGTCTCAGCAGTAAGGGGGAGTCTGCCAATGTCTGAGCTGAGAGCTATGCTGATGTTACTTCTCCCAGTCTCCCAGTTCCCAGCCAGGGTACAGGTGCAGCTTCCAGCCGGAGAGGAACTGCATTGGGGCTGAGCAGCTGGGAACTGTGTCCATGCTGCTGCTTCTCCCTGACCCCCAGCTCCTCAGCTGCAGCACAGATGCAGTTTCCAGCTGATGGGAAGCTGTGTGGCAGCCAGGCAGCTGCAAGCTGTGTTCAAACTGTTGCTGCTTCTCCCTGCACCCTACCTCCCTCCCAACTACAATGCAGGTATAGCTGAAAGCTCTCAACCCCCAGCTCAGCTCCCCACTGGCTGGAAGCTGTCCCCATGCTGCAGCGGCACAGCAGGAGGTGGGGAGAAGCGTGATGATGCAGGTGTAGCTTCTAGCTGCCCAGCCCCCACACAGGTGTGGACAGATGCAAAACTCTGGCTCCACAGGCTGGATCTAGCCCATGAGCTATATGTTGCTAACCCCTGCCAATAAAACATTTGATTTAATTATAAAGAAAAGCAAACATTTTCAACTACTATGTGACCAAACAGAATTTAAGATAGATACCTATTTCAACATCATCCTCAGCTTCTGCTTTAAATATATATACTTTTATAACTTCTGAACCAAAACCATCATCTTTAGCAACATCATCATTTGAAACCTCAGTGCTGATTTTTAAGGGTGTGCTTCCAATATGGTCCAATTTTTCTCCAACATCATCCACTGTAAAAATGCAAAAACAAACAAAAAAGTGATAGTGAGGTTCAAACACAATTTTTAAAAATTAAAATGTTAGTAATATTTCCTTCATCCCACATGTACGCACACACACTGAAGGTCTATATTCTGAGATGCAAGATCCACTGGAACTGTAATGTAAGCCAGATTCTTTTTCAATATGTTCCAGGCCATTTAAATAAATCCAACAATTTCACTATCAACCTTTTAGTAAATTCAGGACAAAAACATTACTATAAAATAAACTTCATAAGAAAAAGCATGATTAAATCATGTAAAGAGTATACAGATATTGTTCTATGTTAAGCCTAGATGATACGTGAGTAAATAAAGTGCAATATACATACATAAATACACATATACACACACATTGCATATGTGTGTATATCTATATCTATAAAAATATAAAATAGATATGATATTTTGGGCAGTTGAACATTTTGAAAATTTCAGATGTGAAGACAGTTTTGGGTTGTTTTTGTGAATTCTATCATTGGCAACTAGCAGCTGCTATTCTTACCAAATGTACATTTGGCTAATAACGAGTGACTTGCAGAATGAAAAGAGTAAATAGTATACTGTTGATAAATCCTGCAAATAGCACGTTCCCTAAAAACTTACAATGTAACAAAGATTAAAGTACTTCAGGTCTTTAGCTTGGTATCTTCTGAGACAGTATTTGGATGTATTTCCAACTACTTCAAGTTGAGTTACCAATATATTTTATGTCTACATCTAAAAATTAAGCAATATTTAATCTATTTAGTCAAAAGGAATTTTTAGTAAATCAATTAAATAATTATGTTCCAACCCCTACTAGGTGGAATATTATGAGTTTTGATAATGTAGGTGTTTACATATATATCGCCTGATTTTCACAGTAAAGGACAGTTAAACCCTGATCACAAAGGCATGTATCTGCAAACATCTTTACTATTTATGTATCGGTAGCACACTGCTTACTCTCTCTGGTGAAATGCACCCCAGTGCAAAGGTCCGGCAAAAGGCCACTGCTCCACTGAATACCCATTGAAGCCCTCATAACAAGGATGATTTCTGATCTGAAAGAAAATGTAATCCCTATCTTTTCTAATATGCACATATTTTTAATTATGTATACCTATTATATTAGACATGTACAAATATATATATTTTTAAAAAGAAATGTAAGAAACAACAGCAGGTTATTTCTTTATGACTTTGCATACTGTCTACTGTGAATGTCATTTAGTAATATTTACTAAACTGTAGCCAGCTTTTTTAGTGAACCTCATGACATTCAGGATCCTGCTACACATTCAAATTAAAGCTAGATAGAAACCAGCTATAGAGTTGTCACATATTTCCAAGCACTAACTTTATAGCTGGTTGACTTTTTTTACAGCTAGACAGTCATTTTTATGGTGTAATAATTATTTTGCACCTTGTGGCTGGTGTAAATTTATTGTGAAATTAACCAATTAATTGTGTGATTATTACTTTGCACTTGTGGACGGTCTTTCTTTCCATGTTTGACTGGTCTAAATTTATGGCTTGATTAAACAGTTAATTGTGTAATATATTTAATGTGTAGCAGGGGCCTCAGAAGATACAGGAAATACTGAAAAAAAACTTAATAAACTAAAAACAAAACTGAAATAAACCGCTTAAAATTAAAATCAACAAACACTGTTATCAACTATTGTAAAAATAGACTTCTGCAATTTGATAATGAACAACAAGAAAATATGAATGGATGGAGGATTTTTTTTAAACACTGATCATTAATTGCTTAGGGAATTTACAGAGGACTCAAATTTGAATTGATCCCAGAAATATTATGAATTTCATTTTGGGATAAATACCAACTTTTAGATTGTATCATTTAACTAAAACCTTGCTAGTGGTTTGACAATGTTCTACTTAAGTCAGTGGAAGCAAGATCATGCATTTGTTAAAAATGTATTCCAAATAAATGAACTGCATAACATATGCAGCCCCCTGCAAATGCCTGCATGGTATCAAGCATAACAAGAAAATGAATAGCAAGCACACCAGCAACACTAGACAGAAATCTACAAATACCTTTTATTACGTTTACCAGCATAAAGTTGTTAATACAAATGTTAGTTGTTTCATGCAATTGAATGTGACATCCTCTATAGGAGCATGCTTGCTTTCTCAGCTTTTGGTGTGACCAGTGCCTTATACAAGCACAATTTTTGGGAAAATGTAGGGAAGCTAGCAGAGATAGCTACTGTTTTCTATGAAAAGGCAATATGAATTTAGATGATCTGAATATAATATATAAATAAATCTATCTTCCAGCAAACTACCTCAACATCCTAAAGCTTTATATTTAAAAAGTTCTTGTTTAAAGATGAAAGGATTTTTCTATTCTGCATCTGAGGTTTACAATCTTTTTTCCAACTATGGCTCCCATGTTGCAGACTTGTATGCATGCTTAGTAAAGTCAGCAATTCTATTGTACATATTTAAGTCTTTGCAGGGCTTGAGCCTAAACAACCATGTAGGAAAGGAATGAAAACAATACATAAAGTTTATGAAGTTTATGAGTAGAAAAAAAATGTTCAGAGAAATATTTTGCTCAAGTTTCATTCAGTTACTGTACTCCTTCCTGACTGTTACTTGTAAGCCAGGCATGTACTGTATTTGGAGGTAAAAAGTGATTTTTCAAGCTGATGGTATCTTAAAGTAGAAATCCCTTTTTTCATATAAGATTTACACAAACAAAACATAGTAAATAAAAATGTTAATACTTAAAGGCTATTAAAAAAGTGGACGTTTCCTACAGATAAGTAATAATGGAATAACAGTATGTGCCACTACACTAATTTTTTCAAAGAAAGTTTTCTAATATTCAAGGTATATAGACATGAAAATGACTGAATGTTCTTTGTGTGAGATGATATACTTCCAGGAACTAATAATTTAGGTTGGTCAGTTGTTTGATTTACTAGGGAATCAATGCCAATGAAAGACAGAGAGAGAGAAAGTATTTCACAATGAAAAATTTAAAATATTTTTTTTACAAAGTATTTTTAGTTGGGGATAGAGTAAAACATGTTCATAGACTATGTACCATCACAAATTGCATCTTACCTTTAAGACACAGAAAACTGATATTTGTTAAAAGCCACGCTTCCCTCCTCGGAGAGGCAACACTGTTTCAAAACCTAAAAGACTGATGGCATTTCTAAAGCATTCAGCATCCTTAGCCTGATTCTCATTCAGACATGGGCAGCATGTACCAATTCAATAAATTTCAGTTTGAGTTTGTCCCCAAGTCTATATATATAGACCCCTCTAAAAGTCAGGCTCCTACTTTTCTTAGCAAGCGAAACAAATAAAATTCAGCATTAAATCCTGAATTAAATCTGCAATGTAACAGATAAACTCAGAAGACTGAATGGTAATAAATTATTATGTCTTTTGCAACTTGCTTCATATTTTCCCTACCTCGGTGGCAACTATAAAGGACAACCAGAAATTGTTACCACTTGAATTGCGGGTTTACATTAAATAATTTTTGGTGGCCTCAGGCCATTTTCCAGTAGAGAAAAAAAATAATGCTAATTAATCCTTTCCCGCTATTTAGCAGAGAGACTAAGAACTGAATTTATAATCTCCACATATTTCCCCACTAATGTCAGGCAGTATCCAAATCCTTGTGTTAACAAACAGGATTCCATTTACAGACTGCTAATCCTGTGCCTTTTGTTAACTGCAAATTGTCTTTTTTTTAAGCAATAACTGTCATTTAGTAAATCAATGGAAGAATAGGGAACAAAACACAGGCTCCTGGCTCAAAATCATTCATCAGCAACACTACATAATGTTGCCTCCACATTTATAAAAGTATCCCGATAGCTTTAGAAATAGATGCTGAATCCTCCTAGGTACCAAGGTAGGAGGAATATTCAGCTCACCTGTAATTTAAAACTTACGTTTTTCAGTTGGTTTCAGGTGTGTGATGTCCAGATTCACCGTGGATTGCCAGCTCCCAATTCACGTGATGTCTCAGCATGCACTATGCTGGTGATATCACACCCACCATAGAAGCCCCCAAGGTATGACAGGAGGGCAAGATAAGTCCCACAGTTTTACAATTTTGCAAAGTTTTCTAAAGTTTAATATGCTTATTTTATATCCCTTAGGTACAATATAGGAATATATGTATTAAAATGTTTAGCAAACTATGCAACACTGTACTGCAATATACTAAAAAGGTGGTGGTGGAACATTACCTTACCCCTAAAGGCCAGCTCCAGTGTTGTTCTTTGGTGTGTATGAGGTCACCAGCATAGTGCATGCAGGGCCAACACATGGATCAGAAGCTGGCAATCCGCTGTGGGTCTGAATATCGCAAACCTGAAAAACAAAAAAAGGGTGTGTTTTAAGCTACGAGCGGTGCCTACTGTTGCATTTAATCTGGTTATGTAATGTGTACAGTGTATATTTTGGGAGCTCAGTGCTTTAATTTCCAAAACACAATTATGCTTAAAAACACACTTTCTACTCAACATTTATATTTCATTATTTTTATGGGGTTAATATGTTCCATTGGGAGTAGATTTGATATCTGGTGTGCCATGGCACAATTTATTAAGAATAGAGTTTTCTTACAATTCTTATAGGACATGGTCATGTTTCCTTTAATTTAAGAAATTAAACTCATCTGCACTAGTAACTAGACAGATAGATGGTGACAAATTTCTAGTCAAAATTCAGACAGATACAAAATTCTTTTCACATACGTCAAGTAAGTATCATACTATAGTTTTCCCAAGCAACATTTATATCACTTGTTAAAAAAATCCACTGAATAGCTAGATAAGACAAATTTAAAATGGTGAAAACTTCATTTAAATTATAACTTTAACAAAAAGCAAATATTTATATGTTAAAGATTCTCTGAATTTAGCTTTCTCCCTTACTAGAGGCTCCCAGATTGTGTCGCACAAGCACAATGTGGTGCATCCATGAAGAGCTAACTGGTTCAGGAAGTTGTCTCCTTGTTTCCAGTTGCCAAACTTAATTAAGGCAGCTAAAAATACTTTTAAACACTTTTAACACTTATTCTTATATTCCTTGCTTTAGCTGCTAAACATTATGTGATCAAGAATGGGAGAGGGAACTTCTCAATCATCTCTCTGCTCTGTTGCGACCCACACTACAAAAGAGACCAACAATTCCTGTATACACCACTGGGAATTATAGCATACAATTATGTTCCTGGGATATTGGTTGCCAACTGAGCTACATAGTAAAGTATATAATATGAGGTTTCATACTCTTAGCTTGAAGGATATATTTATCTCCACCTACGTGACAGATTTGAAGGTTATTTTCAGAAGCCTGACAGTGCTGTCTTAAGACAACCTGGGCAATAAAAAAACCTCTACAGAAGTTGTCCTGCAAGGAGATGAACACTTTGGTTCCAATAAACACTAAAGTACATGCTTAACTTCAAGGTTATTGTGAAGTCAGGCACCAGCTTTGTTGGATCAGGTTCAAGACAGGATCAAAAGAGGCAAGGTCTGCTGTTGTGTATTAAACAGAGTCTTGATCTACACTACCAAGTTTAGCTGGCAGAGCTATGTTGGTTGGGTCATGAAAAGATCACTCGCCCTAGTTCAAGGGTATCAGATACAGCCCATGGGTTGGTTCTGAACAGCAGAGCCCTGTCATCTGACCCATAATGTTTTCTGTGGGCCCTGGACTGGCCCTGAGTGCTGCATGAGGTACAGAGCCACACTGCACATGTGGCCGAACCCAACGTGTGCTGGATGTGTTGCTCAGGGCTAGTCCAGTCCTGTGTGCTGGATCCAGGGCTGGTCCAGACTGGAACCACAGACCAGCCCCATGTACCACATGCAGTGTGTGGGGCTAGGACTGGCATGTGTTGCATGTGGGACTTGAGTCAGAATGGATGCTATAAGCAGCACGGGGCTGAGCCAGGACGCACACTATATGCAGCACCAGTCTGTGGGCCCAGTCATCCACTCATCCAGCCTAAGGGGTTTGATACCTATGCCTTAGTTCAGTGGTAGCCAAATTATGACACAAGTGCCATGGGCAGATAGGGCAGGGAGCAAAAAGCAAAGCAGAGATTAGACAAGGTGCACAAGGCAGAAAGCAGAGAAGGAGACTGGGCAGTGGGAGATCTGACTAGCACTTGGGGAGGATGCAGGGCTAATTTCTAGCACGCTTGCCAAAAAGGTTGCCCCTCCTCTTCACCCCCCAACACCTGACCTAGATAATGTAACTATAGGGGCAGAAAAGGTTCCCGTCAGCATATGCTGCACCTTCACTTAGGGGGGCTCTGTTTTTACATAGCTAACAAAGACAAATCCAAAAATATTTGAATATATATACTGAAGTCTACTAATGACTTAAAAAAACAGACTATCTAATAATCTGGGCTGCAATTGTATTTATTCAGACATATAACCTTGATCAGCTTAAGAAGAAGAGTTTCTCAGAGCAGGATTCATGACCTCAATAGGGTTATCAGACCTTATTAACAGGTTTACAAACACTGACCATATTCATATTTATTTAAAATAATCACATGGGCTAGTGTTTGCAGAGTCATTTTTGTAGTTGGAAGGGTGTCCAAGTCCAAAGAAATCTGAAAACTACTGGCTTAATATAGTCTCCATCATCAACTCCTCTATCGGAAAGAATTATAAACATGACTGTACTTACAAATACAGGGATGCAGGAAATATCACCGTTACATAATATCATTTTATGTTTGCCATTAGAAAGGAGAAATGATTTCAGTTAAAGTAACTGAGCTCTAAAATGGTACTCCTTTCCATAAAAACCTAAAAAGTAATGCCACCGCTGGAGACTTTTTGATTTGTTCTCACATTGGTTTCTTTTTGCTTTCTGTTACAAACTAAGACAAGTGTAAGTAACATATTATACTTAAAATACTTTTTCATGCAGCACATGACATTACATGAAGGACAGAGTGATAAGAATTACAATATCTCTCCTCCAATGATGGAAAAACTAAACATGCAGTACTGCTAAAATTATTTAAATAGTATCACAGGCATGTCACTAAAGAGTTGACAAGACAAGCATGAACATAGCAATATTTACTCTGGAAAGTTGAATAAAAGCAATTTATTGTGCCTAGATCTCTTATGACAATGCCATGTAAATTAAGTATGTCAAAACTTAACTTATTGAACTGTGTTGCTTCCAGGTAGCTAAAATGATTACTTGGAGAATCAAAAACTCATTCTGGTCTAGCAAAATTGCATTAATTTAGAGGAGTTGAAAGGCTGAATTGAAAATTTTTGTGTGTATTAACTTACTTGCATGACTGTCCTGTGTCTGAAAGTGAAAATTGGTCCCCAACATCCAATTAAACACCAAAAAAGAACAATTATTTTCACAGCATGCCATTTTACTAAATTCCTTCAATTGTATGTGTTGTAAATGCATAATTAATGATAAAAGTGCCCTCCTCATAGAGCAGTATGGGGGGAACATGATACTTGGAAAACTGAAAAAAGAAGTTAGTTTTCATTTTCAAAATCAGGTCAGAGGTACCAATACTGAGGACCACTTCAGACAATAGCTCCAGAGGAAACAAAAATCTGGCTACTATATTTTATCTGTAAACCATCTTTTCTTGTCAAACAAGTAAGTTATGGTCAAAATCACTTCCTGAGTAAATTGCCTTCAATTTACATTTTTTCTCACCCCTCTCCTGATGCTCTTGAAACTTACCAAATGTTACTTTTGGCATATATCTAGAAAATTTGGTAATTAGGTTCGACTTTTTAAAAATGTATTATACTTAAAACTGTAAGAAGACAACCCACATAGTATGCTAAACAAGATTTTAAAAAAGATTTTAAAAAATATCACTTCATAAATTCTTGGACTCTTTGCGCACATAGGCACTACGAGCAGGACAGTATGGTCATCATGCCTCTGTTCTGCACCACTGCCTACAGATTATCCACTCACAAAATCCAACTCTTGATAAAAAAAAATGTGGTGAGATTGTTCTTTGATAGTCCAGGAGCACAGGATAGCAAGATTTCAGATTCATTACTCTCTCCCCACTAGATCAGTTCTAGTTCAAACAGTCTCCTACTTATATCTACCATTATTTCACTTACAAGATATCATTAAGTAGTCTTCAGATGTGCTCTTGCCATCATCGTCATCTTCAGTTTTTATAGTAACTGTAGAACCAGGAACAGTACTGGCCGCTTGAATCACAGCTTCTGTATCTGAGTTAGTTACAAGAACTTCTTCTGACACCATTGTGGGAGAATCAGCTCCTGACACAGTGTCTTGTACTACATGTTCCAAATGTCCATCAGGACCCGTAACAAGGTCAGCCACAAAAACCTGATCAGGAACTCTAACAGTTTCTGTTATTAGATCAGAAGTCAAAACATGATCACTGGTATCTAAAGCTTCTTCAATAGCAACATCAGCTTCCAACACAGAGTCAGGAACAATTACACCTTCTGTTACAACATCTGTTTCAGTGATGATATCAGGTCCTTGAACAACTTCAGCTGCTAAGCCATGATCAAGAGTTATTCCATCATCCGTGACTACATCAGAAACTAGTACAGCTTCAGGGACTGATACAACAATATGGTCTCCATCAATATGAGCAGTGCCAGCCATTCCAGCCACTATGAAACAATTATGGAGGAAAACAATGTTAAGATTTATACTACCATATGGCATCACCACTACTATATCAAAGGGTATGGACAAACTGCAGTAAGTTTAAAGAAGGTGGAGACTTATCCACCTCAACTTACCCTACCCACCTTACTCTCAGTGAAATAAGATGCAAGCTATCACGTTAGTTTGCACTCACCACAATATAATTAATAGTAAATTGGTAGTAAATAATTACTAACAATTAGCAGCTTCATGGAAGTAACATTTCACCTTTTAGCTTACTGCAATTTGTTCATCTGTCCATACGCCAAGGAACATAACTAAAACATAAAAGTAAATTATATATATAAAAGTTCCTCAGCTTCCCCTTGAATTTTATTATGTTTGATGTTGTTTAATAAATTAATACTATCTTGTAACATATGACTATGACATTTTATTACTTAAGTCAGAGTACAAAAGCACATTTCTTTTTAAAGGGTTAAAATGATAACACCTGCTAAAAGTCTTTATACGGCAAAAGACCATTATGAGATTTTATATGTATTTTTAAAACTAAAACAATTCTTAAAAACAAGTCTTAATAATTTTTAAAAACTAAAACAATTATGCTAACAACTTGAATCCTGTATTATTCCTTGGTGTAGCAGAAGCTGAGAGCAAAGCTGAATAAGTTAATTTACACATGCATCAGTTTTGCTGATTGGAAAGGAAAAAGAAAAGCATTGTCTGTGAAAGACTGTGGACGACAAGATGACTAAACAGCATGAAGTCAAATGACTTTGCTAACGCAGATGAGAAAAGTTTATTTCAATATGTAAGATGATGGTTTAAGTTTATCAAAAAGTGAAGAGTTTAAACTGTGAAAAGATCCTTTGTTTTACTTCCAGTATGTTATGCCAGAAATGTCAGTTATAAAATAAATATTAATAAATTTATTTTCTCTTCATTTAAGGAGGACACCGTCAAGCTTACAGCCTAAAGAAAATGACAGACAATGCTATCCATCAATTTTAATATTTACAGATAGTGTATTAAAAACTTTATCAATAAAGGGTTAAAAAACTTTAAACATATTTACCATTTTTATTTCCTTTGTAACTAAATTTGGCAAAGTCAAAAAAGAATTAACACCATTAATCTAGCTCAACAAATATCACCAAATTGCATTTACTATCAAAGTTAAAAGACTTGGGGGGGGGAAGGAGGAGGAGACGGGACACCTACAGGTCATGAAAAAAAAAGTTTCTTGCTTTATCACACCCCTGGTTAGGCTGTGCTAGGCTAGAAGGAGGTGCTGGCTGGAAGGAACCTGAGTGAATGCAGGGCAGCCTTCCTTTCCCTTGCTCATGCATACCTCTGAGCAAAGTTTCATTGGGCAGCATCCACAGGCTCCTTAGGTACATTTAAGGGGCAGTGAGTGCTAGTAGGAGTTCTCTGCTCAGTGTTCTCCCTTAGCACCACTGGCTGCTTGCAGACATTAACCCCCCCCCCCCCCCCCCCCAAAAGAAACAACCCCACTTTACTGGAAGCAGCAGCACATCTGCTCGACCTGGCTACGCAGCTATTAGATAAAAGGGTCGATCAACTGTTAGATATAAAAGTGTCAAAACCCCCCCACTAAATCACCCGATCTACACAGATGCCGGATGAGCCTCCATCTGACTAACACCTCATAGATGGAAACTCATCTCCATTTAACTAACACACCGCCCCATGTGGGCATGTGCTGGGCTTGGCATAGGAGTGCGTGGATTTTAAAGTAAAGGGCTGTTTTTGGGGTTTTTTTAAACATTTGCAAGCAGCCCTAATTTATTAACCTATAACCTTAACTTCTGTTCCTGTTTACTCATGATTTGTCACACAGAATTGGTTATTGTACATTTAGTGGCTTCCCTCTAGCTACTGCGGGCAGAAAGAAGAGGCTTACAGTTTCTGGTGGGCCCATGCCCACCATCAATATGTAAAACAAACACAGGCTTGTTTCAGACAGCGCGAGCAGTAGATCCTTTAGACGGAGGACATACATACAGAGCATATCTAAAGTGATCCACCCACCCCATCATACTCTTCCTGACATACAATTATAGAAAGTTAGGGTTGGAAGGGATCTCAGGAGGTTGGAAGGGACCTCAGGAGGTCATCTAGTCCAAACCCCTGCTCAAAGCAGGACCATCCCCAACTAGATCATCCCAGCCAAAGCTTTGTCTAGCTGGGTTTTGAAAACCTCCAAAGATGGAGCTTCTACCACCTTTCTGGGTAACGTGTTCCAGTGTTCTACTACCCTCCTAGTGAGAAAATTCTTCGTAATATCTAGCCTAAACTTCCCTTGCTGCAACTTGAGATCATTGATCCTTGTTCTGTCATCCGCCACCACTGAGAACAGTCTAGCTCCATCCTCTTGAACCCCCCTTCAGGTAGCTGAAGGCTGCTATTAAATCCACTCTCAGTCTCTTCTTCTCTAGACTAAATAAACCCAGTTTCTTCAGTCTATCCTCATAAGTCATGTGGCCCAGCCCCTCACCATTTTTGCTGCCCTCCGCTGGACTCTCTCCAACTTGTCCACATCCTTTCTGTAGTGCAGGGCCCAAAACTAAACACAGTATTCCGGATGTGGCCTCACCAGTGCTGAATAGAAGGGAATAAGCACCTCCCTTGACCTACTGGTAACACTCCTACCAATGCAGCCCAGTATGCCATTAGCCTTCTTGGCAACAAGGGCACACTGCTGACTCATATTCAGCTAACTGTCCATTCTAACCCCCAGGTCCTTTTCTGCAGAGCTGCTGCCCAGTCAGTCAGCTCCCAGCCTGTACTGGTGCATGGGATTGCTCTGTTCTAAGTGCAGGAATTTGTACTTGTTCTCATTGAACTTCATGAGATTTCTTTTGGCCTAATCCTCCACTTTGTCTAGATGGAATCTACCATCATAGGTTTAGCGAGGTCAAAAAACATATCCCTGACTGTTCTGTCTGCTATTAATGGACCTATCATCCATGAACCTGTCTAATCTAAACCTCAATTTTCAATTCCAATTAGAGGGCATTCAGCAAGCAGCATCCAGAACCATGTACAACTTGCTTCTTCATAATCAACTTTGTCTTGAGCCATTTCACTTTTTAAAATCGACACATGCTTTTCAGTATCAGCAACTGAGCAGTACAGTAACAAAAACAGGAATTCAAAAAGTGTACAGGACATTTCCTGAAGCTTTGTCTGCATAGCATTTTGAAGATGCTGAAATGTTGAATGTTATTATAAACCTCAAGACAACTTTACATTTAAGCATAAGCTCATACTGAAGAAAATTGTTTTACTTGAAACAACCTAGCTGTATTATCCATTAGTGTTTATAAGTAAAAATGTTTTACCAAAATCCTGCATAATCATAGTGTGAGGCATTCTGGAATCTTGCGTCTGCAACCCAAGGCTTCCACCACCTGGATCCATAATCAGCTATGCTTTTTCAAACAGCTGCAAAAGCAAAATTGTAAATGACATTAAATGCATTAATTTTCTGAATTAGTGTATAATACACTATGTGCAAATAAATGCAGTTTAGACGTAGGAATATATGCCTCCTAACTTGAAGGGAAAAGATATGTATTAATTTATACAATCTAGCTCAGGGGCAGGCAATATTTTGGGTGGAGGGCCACTTACCCAGTTTTGGCAGGCTGTCAAGGGTCACATAGGTAGCACTGCCCCTTGGTCACCATCTTGGGACTAATGTCTCAGGGCCAGCACCAGTGGGGCCCAAAGCAGAACGCAGGCTGGCAGGGGTCTGTGGCGTCAGGCTGGGCTGCACCAGCAGGGAGCTGGCCCGGCTCCATAGAGCCCCTGCGAGCTGGGACACCACGTTCCTGCCACCCTGCTCTGGGCCCTCCTGGCACTGGCCCCATGCTCCCACTGGTTCCCCACCCACTCACACCCAATGTCCCCCAGGCCCCATGGTACAGGCAGGGTGCAGCACACAGCCCTGACCCCCTGCTCACTGGCAGGGAAGAAGCTGGTGCTGAGCGGGGGAAAAGTGGCACCTCGCCTCCCCATGGCTGGCACCCCCTGCTGCAGGTGCTTTCAACCTGTGCAGGGCTGCCTGGAGCAGGCACAAGCAACCCCAGGCAGGCTGCAAGCAGCTTATAGCACACGGTGCTGGCCCCAGGTGGGCTGCAAGCGGCTTATAGCACATGGTGCCGGCCACGAGGCAAGCAAGGGGCCGCTTTTCCCCGTGCTCAGCACCAGCTTGTAACCTGCCCTGGAGCTCACGCGCTGGGCAGCCCACAGGCAGCGGTAGCAAACAATGCCCAGCGTGGCAAGCAGGGGGGCTGCAGCTGCTGTCGCCACGCGCAGCCCCAATGGGCGAGCCTGGAGCCGGCGTGGGGCCCAGGCTGGCAGCGGGGCCGGATTACAAGGTGGTGCTGAGCGCAGGGAGGAAAAGCAGCCCCTCCCTGCCCCATGCCCGGCTCCCCATGCTGCAGTCACTCACAGCCTGCCTGGGGCAGCCTATGCCTGCTCTGGACAGCCCCATACAGGCTGGAGGGGGCTGCAGCAGGGAGCGCCGGCCATGGGGTGGGCCAGGGGCCGCTTTCCTCTGTGCCAGGAAGGAGAAGGGAAGGATCCTAGGGAAAAGCTGAGTGCAGGGGGAGAAAGTGGCCCCTCCCCCACCCCATGGCCAGAGCTCCCTGCTGCAGGCGCTCACAGCCTGCGCGGGGCTGTCCGGAGCAGGCACAGGCAGCCCAAGGTGGGCTACAAGCAGCTGCAGCGTGGGGCGCCAGGCACGGGGCTGCTTCCCCTGTGCTCAGCTTCCCCCGCCCCCTTCTCTGCCCAGGGCCTGCCCTTCTCGCCTTTCCCCATGCTCTCAGGCCAGAAGCCCGGCTGGGGCTTCCAGCTGGGCAGGTGGGCGGGCCCTGCTGTTGTGGAAGCCTGCTGGGCTTCCCCTGGGTCCTACTGCCCTTGGTTCCTCCCATTTTTGACAGGAACCAAGGGAAGATGAATATTAATTTTCTACATTTTTAGGGGCCCCGCGAGCTAAATAGAATGGCCTCGTGGGCCGAGCCATATTTTGCCCACCCCGATCTAGCTGGTTATATTATTTTGTGTTTCCTTATGAACCTTGCCTTTTAAATCCTGCAGCTACTTATATCCAAGAGTATGCCTGAAGGTCTACTTACATAAAATAAACTTAAGTACTTGTAAGTATTTGTTGGGTATGGCCTTACTTTATACACACAATTTTATTACTGTGTGGTCTTCCCTCTTTTTTTTTTTTTTTTTTTTTTTACTTGTGTGGATTTATCTACAACAAGCTTTGGAACATCTGTGATACTAGGATCATCTGACAAATGTGAAACTAAGTCAAGGAGCAAATTTTGACACTAAGTTTCAAACTTTCATATTTCTATCCTGTATATAATAAGAAAAGATGGTCTGAAGTTCTGCAAAACTAAAGGGAAAAAAAAAAAGCTGATAGTATTGTTTTTGACAAATGTTATACTGTGGTAACAAACAGCATGACAAGTATGCTAGTAACTGAAGCAAATTACTAATCCTATTAATACATATGCACAAAACTCTTCCTCAAAAGAAAGTTAGGGTTTTTAAAAGACAACTTACCTATAACAAATCTACACCAAGGAAATCAAAAGTAAGCCACTTAACAGCTCTCATATTCTGTTCACAAGCACACACCTTATCATAATACTAGAGACTACAGACCATTCATGAAAACTTCCTCCACTTTCATTTTCCTGTATGCACCCTGTTATCTGATTATTTCCCCATCTCTTAACATTAGTAGTTACAGATGCTTGGTTTAAGAATAGGTAAATAAAGGAATGTGTATGGAAGGACGCTCCTTGGGAGGAGTGTTTTATGTCAGGCACGTGGTGTATATAGCAGCAAACTGCTTCATAACTCAGTTTTTAACATATTCATTCCTTCACATTTTTAAATATATATATTTTAAAAATTTTGGGCAGGGTTTGAAAAAACTGCATAGAGGAGTCCGATCTATGAGGGCAAAAGTGTAGCTGCTGATATTTTATTTATCAGCAAATGCAGATGAACCCTTCAATGCACCTGGATAAAACTGCCAAAACAGGTCCTAATTGAAGTGTTATGAGTGCCCAACCCCACCAAGCTATTAGATTTGTATGCACAGTGAATAAGCCCTTGGTTATAACATCTAAACCAGGGGTAGGCAACATTTTTGGCCAGTGCAGAAAAAACTGCAATGTCTACCTCGTAAGGTACCGGAGTGTCAGCATGCCAGAAAAACAAAACTGGGTCGAAGGCTTCATGGCAAGACACACTGCATATTAATATAGTTAATAATCATTGATGTTGCCTTTTTTTAATGGCAAATACCAGGTTTTCTAAAAGTTCTAAATCTGGTGACGATAAATACAGCTTCATATACTATCTTTGTTCTTGTGTAGTCTTTTTTGTTAAGCATGTTGTGATGAGAGAGAGAAAGAAAAGAAAGAACAGAGAGAAAGAGCGGGAAAACAAAAGAAAAAAGAGAAGATAAAAAGAGGGGAGAGAGAAAAAAGGAGAGAAGAGAAAGAGAGAAGAGAAAAAGAGGACAGAGAGAAAGAAAAAAAAGGAGAAAAAAGAGAAGGAAAGAAGAGAGAAAAAGAGGACAGAGAGAAAGAAAAAGGGGATGCTGCCTGGCGGGGGCAGAATGCTGGGGTTGGGGAGCTCCTGGCTCAGGTTCTGTGTGCACCAGGCACAGCACGAGTGGGGCAGAGCCCCCCGGGTCATGACAGGAGCCCCCCAGGCTCTGGGAACAGCTACCGCAGGTGATGCTTAGGATTGAGCTGGCTGGGAGCCTTCAATGCAGTGACCCTGCAGAGTGCCTTACTCGGCCCTGACCCCTTGAGGGGAGCTGCAGGTGGGCAAGGCCAGGGCAGCTGCAGCGGCTGCTCCCAGGAGCTCCTGCTGTCAGGCCCCTCCCCTGGGGGGGTGGGGCTCTGCTCTGCCCAGCATGTAAGTAGGCTGACCTCAGAGCCAGAAGCCCCCAAGCCCAGCATCCTGCTTTGGCCACATGGCAGTCCCTTACACGTAGGGCAGCTGCACCACATTCCTGTGGAGCTGCGCGGGCCAGGCCCTATCTTGGATCCCACTGGTCACCTTCATCCCCCGTGGCCTGAGCCCATGGAACCCTGGGGCAGCCCCACTTCCCACGGGCCCTACTGCCCACAGCTTCTCCCTGCACTGCCTAGCCCCAGCACTTGGCACCCCAGTGCTGCCCCTACCTGGGTGAGACAGGGTGTCCATCTGCCCAAGCACTGGGCCCGCTCACCTGCATTGAGTGCAGTGGCCCTGCACAGCACCTCCCCATCACCCCCTTGCAGCTCCCCTCTAGGGGCCAGGCTGGGCTGGAGGGCCAAGTCCAGGGACAGGGGGCAGAGTTAGCAGAACATAGCCTGTGTCCCTGCCTGTGTTATCCTGACTCCGTCCCCAGTGCCTGCCCCTGCGCCGGGACTGGTGGCTGCTTTGGAGAGCCCAGAGCAGCAACTTAAAAAAAAAAAATGTTTTTAAACAATTTCCTCACATGCCTCCTGGAGTACCAGGGAAAATGTCTCCATGTGCCACTAACTGGCTTGCATGCCGGGGGTTGCTGATCCCTGATTTGAACTTAAGACTTGCTATTAGATGTGCACCAATAAAGATTTTTGGGGCCGATACCGATAGCCGACTTTTAAGGAGGCATATTGGCCGACACTGACCTGATTTCCGATACTCAGCTCTTCAGCTTGAAGAGTTGCACCCAGCTGGTAAGTCTGGTGTGGTGAAAGGGGAAGGAAGGGGTCTGGAGGTGGTAGGGAGAGGCATATCAAGGCCCCTACAGTGACAGAGGGAATGGGGCTGGGGCAGGCGCTGACCAGCTGGGACGGGGCAGGGAGGTACATGGGACAGAGCCGCAAGTGGCTTGTCTGGGGAACGCGGGGGTGTGCCCCTCGGATCTGCAAGCATGGGGGGCGCGAGCATGGGACGGAGGTGCAGCTTGTCCAGTGCTCATCTGGCGGCTTCCACCACTGGTCCTCCTGCTTGTCTGGGAGGGCATGGGGGCGGGAGGTATGTGCCCCCCAATCTCCCCAGTTGGGAAGAGCCTGGCCCCAGCCCACCCTGCCCCACAGATATGGAGGCACACATTCCCCCCCATGCCCTCGTGGATAAACAGCTGGAGTCATCCTGATGAGCACTGGATGAGCAGTGTGCAGAGGTGGGAGCCATCCCCCCCACGTCCTGTGCCCACCCTGGCTAGGCAGCCCCTGCTCCAGCCCCATCTCCAACCCTGCACCCTTCCTCACTGCGGAGGCCTTGATCTGCCCCCTCCCCCCGCTTCTACCACACCAGACTTACCAGCTGCATACACTGCCGGCTCTGCTCCTCACTGCGTACATGCTGCGCTGCAGCTGCGCACATGCACGGGCATTTATCAGACAAATTATTAGCTGCATTGGGCCAAT